GACAGTCAGACCCCCCTCTAGTGCCCCCCCAGAGGAGTCATGGCTGCTGCTCTTCTCTCCTCTGCATGCCTTCAAAAAATGAGCTCCAAAGACTGAGGGATAAGCCTATGACACCCCCTGGTGTCCCCCAGGGGAGACACGGCTGGCCTCGCAGTACCCAGGACAACGCACAAGATCACCATCATGGCACTGAAGTCTAGTCAGGATCAGTGTTTCATCTGCAGCCGAAGCCGGGTAATTTTCGCTACTCACGTAATTTTCTGTATGGGGCGCTGGACCCGCCCGGTTTGCAGCAGGTGCTGCTCCCCACAAATAGAGAGGAGCAATCTAAAGTGGGTGCTACCCGGGGATGCTCGTATCACCTCCCTCCCTGTAGGACCGTGAACACCGACGGATGTCAAACAAAAAAAACAAAAACAAAAAAAGATATGTCAACAGGCGCCTGCGTGACTACAGTCTTCCCCCCAATACAACATACGGTCACGGCGAGCTCATCCGGGCGGAAGGCCCGTTCAGAGAAGGAGGGAGAGACGAGAGGACCCACTGGTGGCCCCCTGTGGTTCCCTCGTGTCTCCAAGGACAGGAGTGCTGTACACGGCCAGCAGCGATTGGAGATTGCCTTTCCTCGATAGAGGTTTTTTCCTTTTAAAGGAAGGTTAGATTGGGTGGACGAGTATAGCCGGAGGGAGAAGATTGTCATCAGCAGCGCTCTACAACAACCTGCTCAGTCAATCCTCTGAACCCAGAGTAATCAATGCTGGCAGGTCCTGGTCTTATTCCTGGTCTTATTTCTGGTTTTCTGGTTCCTGCTAACTGTTTTTTGAATCATTCTGTATCAGGAACGCTGGACCCGTTTTCCAGACGGCTATAATGACCGTACGTTGTATTCGGGGGAAGAAGGTAGCCAGTCCAGGGGCCAAGTCCCACTAGCAGTATTGAGCTACCTCAACGCCTGAATGTGGACTCTTTTCCAGAGATGTGCAGAAATGGTGCTGAGTTTCCTGAACTGCACATCTCCACAAACACGTCCAGATTCAGGCGTTGAGGTAGCTCAACGCTGTTAGTGGGACTTGGCCCCAGACTTCGAACAACAACTCCACCTACATCATGCCCACAAACAACCTGTTGACATTCTTTTTGAAAAAGGCAGCTTTTTAGGGGGGGAGGGGGGGGGGGGGGAGAGGAAGGGGGGGGAATCTAAAATGAAGAGTGACTAAGGCGCTCCAATGGCAGATACAACAGCGTTGCCTCCCTAGTCACTCTTCTTTTCAATTGGTTTTTTTTTTTTTTTTCCCCTGAAAAAGCTGCCTTCTCCTCGTCGGGGGACAGCCATATTTTTTTTCTCTCACCTCACATATGTTTTTAACTGGCATTCTTCCATGTCATCATGGAGCATATCTTTCTTTCACTACCTAGTACCTACCTACCACTACTCCTAAGGCTATACAGGAGACCCCTGCAAGCATAGCTTTCTAGCATTTAATCGACCTTTGGTGAAATAAAAGTTATATTCAACTTTTTAATGCATCGCAAAAAAAAAAGGCTTGGCCCTTCAAACTGCAGGATCACAAATTCAGTTTCCAGATCGTGTCTTCCTTTTAGAAGGACTCAATCTCTGTTTGTGTCCTCCTTTTAGAAGGACTGAATCTGTTTGTGTCCTCCTTTAAAAGGACTCAATCTGACCAATGTTTACACAACTTCAGAAGAAAGAACAAAAAAACAGCATGACTGTGCCAGACTGTCTCGCCGTCTGTGTGTCTCTTGCACTGTCCTGAAGGAGCCTCTCTTCTCCTCCATCCATGCTCGCCGTCCTCCTCCCTCTTCCTCCATCCACACTCGCCACCCTCCTCCCTCCTCCATCCATGCTCGTCGCCCTCCTCCCTCCTCCTCCATACATGCTCGTTGCCCCCCTCCCTCCTCCATCCATGCTCATCATGCTCCTCCCTCCTCTGCCATCCAAACTCGCCGCCCTCCTCCCTCCTCCTCCATACATGCTCGTCGCCCCCCTCCCTCCGTGTGCGTTGGCCTCCTCTCTCCGTGCTCGTTGCCCTCCTCTCTTCGTGCTCGTTGCCCTCCTCCCTCCGTGCTCATTCCCCTCCCCCTCCCCCCTCCATCCTCGTTGCCCTCCTCCCTCCTCCTCCACCCATGGCCGTCATGCTCCTCCCTCCCCCGGCCTCAATCCTCTATCCTCATCCGTCATCGCCTTTGTCGTCAATCCTCCTCTCTTTATCGTTACACTTTGTGTCCTCCCTACTCCCTCCTCCATCCACGCTCATCGCCCTCCTCCCTCCTGCTCCATCCATGGCCGTCGTGCTCCTCCCTCCTTCAGCCTCCATCCTCTATCCTGCTCCATCATTTTAGCCTTCGACTGCAATCCTCCTCCCTTTATCGTTATAGTTATTGTCCTCTCTACTCCTCCCTACTACTACTCAAATCCTCCTCCTCCCTCCTTCACGTTGCTCCTCGTCTTCCCTCCTCCTCCCCTTCAACCGTGGTCGACCTCCTCACCATCACCATTGCCTCCGGTGCAAACATGTACCGCTCCTCCCTACTCCTCCCTCCTTTGCGTCGCCTTCCTCCCTCCTTCGCCTCCATCCACCATCGACCTCCCTCCATGGTCATCGTCGTCCTCTTCACTCCTCCCTCCTCCTCCTCCTCCTCCTCCTCCCCCCATATTGTCAATGTGTGCACACACGTCTGTGTGAGTGTTCCCCTCAAAAGAACGTGCCACCCTCTCCCCTCCCCTTGCTCCTTCTCATCCCTCCTCCTCCTCCTCGCTCCTTCTTGTCCCTCCTCCTCCACCACTGACGGTGTGTGTGTGTGTTTGTGTGTGTGTGTGTGTGTGTGTGTGTGTGTGTGTGTGTGTGTGTGCGTCTCCTCATTGTCCCTTGTCCGCCTCCCTCCTCCTCCTCCTCCTCCATGGTCAGCCTCATCAATGTCGTCATCTTCCTCGTGCCGTCACCCGAACACCGGGACACACATGTGTGGGTGTTCATGTGTGTCGTCATGTTCCCTGCACACAAATCCACAGAAAAGGCATGACTGCATCCACCATAGTCGTATCCGCACGTGTGTAGATGTTGCCGTGTCTGCGAATCACAGAACCACAAAGCTTCTGCATGCGCACCCGGCCCCACAGTGAAGGGAAAAGAAAGGAAAGTTCCCGAACACCGTGCGCCCTGTGCTGCCCCGCCCAAGTACCCTCAGTGAACTGCGCGAGGCACCCGAAAACCAATTTGGAACTTCCCAAACGGCCGGTGCCCCACCGGTGCCACCTCCCATTCGGTTTATTCTTGAAGCCAAGGACCACCATTGTTTTTAGGCGTGTAAGGGAAGAATTGAGGGGGTGAACCCAGTTATGGACAATCATCAGAGCAGATAGACAAGGACGATCCAGTGATAGGCATGATATACAGCAGCACTAGCCGTACCAACAAACGGAGGACCCACAGGATTGGTCCAATATCAACAAGGCATAACATTCTCTCTGCAGAGCAGCATAGAGAACTGTGAGCAAACAGTAGAGAAACTGGATGCAGGCTTTCCAAAATCATTGCCAGCCGGTCTGAGAAACCAAACGGGTAGAGCATCAGCACAACGCCCTCTCTCTCTCTCTCTCTCTCTCTCTCTCTCTCTCTCTC